AAAAAAAGTCACCTTAAAACGTTGACAAAGATGAATTAGGTATTGCAGCTAATTTGTTTCTGAAACATCTCACCGTGTTCTGACCGACACTTCTGAAAGCAAGGGGTAACCAGCATCTCCGACCTCGTTCTTAATAATTTAAATTACAACTTTCTGATTTCCCCCTCTTTCAAAGGTAGGCACTTCTGCAAGAACAGCTTAATAGGATATAAAGCAAGTGGCAGTTAAAGAGAGAGAAAATCACGATCTGTCATTCATAGGGGGAATTTGCAAGGTTAGCTGTGTTTTTTTCTTATTGAGATGGCTAGTCTTAATGACGCCAAGCGCTGCAGCGAGAGAGAGAGAAGCGAAGGTAAACTGCACCTTTTTGTGGTAAATGCAGATTCTTTTGCCCCTACTGGGCCCCATTCAGGACTATGATTCAGCACCTGCGTGCCAGATTGAGAGATAACAGAGCTCAGGATAATCGTTCGGCGATTAGCTCTCTCTCCCCCCCACCTTTCTACCTGGTCAGTAACATCTCCGCTGGAATCTTCACCTGGTCAATTTCAAAGCGGAAAGGGCAGGGGGAGCTACTCGCAACCTTTGGTTTATATTTCTGGCTTTATGCAACCCTTTGCATTTCCACCGGACCACTTCCGCATAAGACTTGAAGGATCGCATTCTGTTTTGCGGGGGTGGGCAGAGTCTCGGCCTTGCGGGATCTTTTTTTGTTTGTTTCTGCTTGTGTGCGTGTGCGTGTGCGTGTGCGTGTGCGTGTGCGTGTGCGTGTGTGTGTCTCCCCCATAAATCAGCCGGAGACCAGGTGCAAAGCAGCGTCGGCGTGGAGGCGCATGCAGAGAATATAGGAAGGAATACAGATGGTTTCTGCCCAGAAATCAGTGATCAGTAGCAGCATCAAACGCACGAGCCCTTTCATAAAAGAATCCACTCCTGGTTTCCCCACAAGCTTATTTTTTTTTTAAGCAGCATTATTGGACGAAGGCCGAGACAGCGTTTTGTTGCTCTCGTTGCACCATGAAAAGTCAGAAAGCATCGCAAATCTATGTACCTTTTTAAAAATCTTATTTTCTATCACCCCTGCTTTTGGAGCCACTTTTTAAGAGGGAGGCACGACGTCACTCCCACCGCTTGAGCATAAGTCATATTAAATCGGCCTGTTTGATGGTAGATTTCCCACTAGGCGATTTCCTGGGGTAAGCCTTCCGGCGCCACCCCCGAAGTCATCATTTGCTACTAAAGTATATTAAAAGAAAAATCGAAGTGGTCAATGAGTTTTTTAAAAAAGTAACCCAAAATGCAAATTCAGACGGGACGGGAGAAATCTGAAACCCACGGTTAAATATTATATCTACTGCCTTAACAACAACAAAACAACGAAAAGACTTGGTAACTTTTCCAGCCCTAGTTCCTTTGTTTTTCCCGTGCAGCGTCGTTTGAAAGTTGGAGTGGAGAAGCGTTCTTGTAAGCCACATCGCCTGTGATTCCAACAGGTCCTGCTAACTCGAGAAGAACCCTCTTAAGTTCTTCCTGCTCCTCTCCAGCCTCAGCTAAAATGGGGCTCTGCACGGGGCTTGAGGGAAAGAGGCAGAAAACGGAGGCGAACTGCCTCGTAGCGCAAACCTATCCACAGATAGGCCCTTTATCGTTCATTAGGATATGTGTGCTCCCAGGTAATACTTGCGCGCGGGATTGCAACGTAGGTGCAAAACGATTTAATAAGGTTTACACCCTCGCCATTACTCGTGAGTAAATCCCACGGAACATTGGGAGATTTACCTTCCAGGAAACATGCTTAGCATCGCGCTGTGAACGGGAAAGGCCGAGCGGAGTGAGCTGGAGATATGGAAGAGGGCTGTTTTTTTCATTTGGTTCAAGTTGCGCATTTTTATACCCTTGATTTCCATCGGGTTGGCGGGGGAGAACCCAACACAACGTTAAAGCTGTCCTACGTACCTTTAAGTGGTAGTAAACCTCACTGCACTTCAAACTTACTTCTGAATAAATTTGTAAATTCCTGTAACGGGAATTTACACCTGGCCGGGCTCAGGTGCACAGAAGGCAAAAAATGCAAATTGAATGCGGAGATTTTCCTGCTCTGCAACACGAGCCTAGCCATGTTTCCTCAGAAGTAAGTCCCGCCACTTTCCGCAAAGAAGCTTTCTCCCAGACATTCTGTCAGATGGCAGCCCCACCTGGCAAGGAAATTATCCTGATTTAAACACGACCGCCCGTTCTGGGCTACTACGGCATAGATTAGAAGGTACTTAAAATCGCCTTTCTGCAAATTCGCAGATTTTCTGGGGGGAAATGTTTTAAACGAAAGGAGGAGAATGGTGTCAAACGACTAACCTAGGAGGCTTGAATAAACTGGATGGAGACAGGGCTTCACTGAGAGAGATCAGGGAGGGTTTAAGGGAAGCGCACTAGTGTCTGGAATCGGAGTATTTAATGGCAGAGAGGAAGCCTCCAGCTGTTCCAGGAATTTATCCTACATAGTAGTGCACCTGAAATGCCAACTCCTTCCGAAAGACAGCATATGATTATTAAATAAATCCCTTTTGGTAACCTTGGGACGGTAGTCAGATCCTACAGCTTACTCGGAAATAGGTCTCATTCGTTTAGAGGCATTCGGATCTACCGAAGAAGCATAGAGGATTTCAGCCTGCTTTTTAAACTCTCACTACTCTCGTACAGTAACGAGGAATAGCTACTCTGGACGATGATGACGTCCGTTGATTGAAAGCTGCTCCCTCTCCTTGTTAAAGTCATCGCAACTTTTTTGGCTTTAACGAATGGCAAAGAGACATAAAACGATGGATAGGCGAGGCGGATACCGACAGAAATCCACGGGAATCACACCCCAAGCGCAAAGCGATGAGCCCGGAACGGCACTCTTTTTTAAAAAAAATCCTATTTATTTCAATAGGCTCCTTAACTCACGCCCAACGGTCCCTAAAAGGATGATCCTATACAAAGCGGATGCGAAAGAAGTCATAGCGGTAGGTGGGCGTCTCTCCGGCGCTGACCATACCTGAATGCCCGTTTTATTTTCATCCGTCCCTGTGAGCCATCCTTTTAAAATATTAAAAATCTGGGTCTTCTCATGTCAGTATTTTTCCCCCTCTTCGTAATTGTCCTTTTACAGGGGGAGGACGAGGTAGTTTAGCAGAAGGGCGTGGACACCAAAAGATGCTTTTGTTTGCTCGCCTAATAAATGTAAGAGTTATTGTTATGCTAAATCGATTTCGCCACCTGATTAACGCTCTCCAGAGAACGGGCTGGAGAGCAGCTTATTTTAGCCGGCTTCCCTTCAAATTCAGTTGGAATTTGGCTTAAATTAGCGGAAAAACGAATTCAACAGAATCTTGTGGCACCCGAAAGCCGGCCTGATTTGTTGTCGCTGTGACCACCGGAGCTTTCTACTGCACACACATACCTGTTCGTCTTAGGAGGAGCCCCAGGCTCGTTGCCAGAGAAGGAAAGCAATCCTAAGCTAGTCTGAGGTGAAGAATTCGGTGAGGCTCAGCCCTCCGAAAGTGGGCATAGAGAGGGCCTGCCTTCAGAGGTGAGAGCACCGCGGTTGGCTGCCCGACTCCCCTGGATCAAGAATCTCGTCCCTTGTGAACAGGAACCGGGACATTTTGATCTCAGGAGCTGGAGTGGGCTTGATTCCAAGGATGACTCAGGTGTGCCATCCTTTCCTGGGCTGCTCTGAAAAGCGGCTTCAGAGGAATTCAGTGGAAATCGCCCCTCGTTTTTCACCTGTAGGAGTGCTGTGCGGGGAGATTCAAGAGTTTGAAGCAGGGAAAGAGGGCGAAAATAATAATAATAAACCAAAACCCTCCCCTGATTACCAAATCTGTCCATGTGGAAGCTGACTCGTGGCAACTGGACTTCTTTCTGAAGTAGCAGCAGCTACTTGGATGACGAGCAAAACGTTTCAGCCGAATAAGAAAGAAGTCCGAATAAGAAAGAGGTTTGGTGGCCACGACTCAACTTCCAGATAACCTCTGAGAATCTTCACCTATAGATCTGTCCGTGCTTAGCGTTCCTGTAAGGATCGGTGTCGTGTTTACGGTAACCAGACCGAGTTACCTTTCTGCACACTGAAGGCAGTGGGTTTTATTTCGGGGCGGGCCCCGAACCCATCTGCTCAGGAGGAGATCTCCCTCTTAACTCGGGGGGGGGGGGGGGGAGGCGCAGATTGTCAGGCAAATGTATTAAGATCGGCGTTCCTGGGCTGTTTAAGCATCAAGGCAGGCTGAGCACCGCCGGCTGCGTGTTAGGCCCTCGTTGCGGTTACAGAGGAGGGTCATGAATGGGCCACCACATCCGCCCCTTTTAACTAGGACTGCCCCCCCGCCTGCTGTGTTCTGGGATCCCTTCTGCCCCGTGACCCAGAAGCCCACTTTCTGATGGGCGGAGGGCTCTTTTTCCCCTCCCTATCCTTATCCTCTGGGGGTGGCGCCCGAGGAATCCTCGCTTTCTTTACGCCTCTGATCGCAAGTGGCTGGATTCACAAGAAACCGACGTGCTTCCCGAGTTCTCCTCCCCCCCTTTCTCCTCGTCCCCTGGCCAATGAAGGGTTAACTCCCCCGGCCGCACTGGCCTCCGGCCTCCCGGCTCCGAAGCGCGCCCGGCCGCTTGAAGGGCGCCTTTTCTTCCACTGGGTTGGCTTGCGCGCCCGGCGTAGGCGTTGCGCTTCTCCTCCCCTGCCTTGCCAGCCCAGCGTGTGCTGCTGCTGCTGCCTTTGGGGCTGGCTGGCGCTTTCCCAGGCGTGCGTGTGTGCGCCTTGGAGCGGCTCCAAGGTCGGAGCGGGGAAAAAAAAGGAGGGGGCGTGGCGTCGGGAGGGTGGGCTCCTGCCGATTGGCTAGCTTGGCGCTGCCTGTCACGGGGAAGCCCGCGGGTCCGGGGCCCTCCTTGGGGAGGAGCCATGCTAATAAGCTGGCCATTAAGGGTGGCTGGGAAACAGAACAAAATCCCAGTGATTATTTCCCGGGAAGAGAAGTTTCTCTCCATCCGTCCGCCTCTATGTCTGTCCTTTAAAGCAGCTCTTTGAAGCTTGGGAGAGAGAGAGAGATCTGCTTTTTCCCCAGCGCTGCCCTGGGATTTATTTCGCTTGAGCTGGAACGCTTTTCTTCTTCTTTCTCCCCCCACCCACTTTCCCCTTCCTGGTGCATACTTTTTAATTTTTTAATTTTTGGGGGGGTTGTATACTGGACGCCATGTTGTGGAAACTAGCAGACAATGTCAAGTACGAAGAGGACTGTGAGGTGAGATCTCAGCGCTGCGTAGGATGCTGGTTCACAAGGGTGGTGGCATTACCTCTAACTTCGTTCCGGGGTTCCAGGGGGGAAAGCGGAGTAAGCGAGTGAAACCGGGGTACTTGGATTGAAACCGTTTTAGGTTGTGATCCGTGGGAACGCGGGATGCTATGAATGGATTTTCATCCGCAAACGTCTTCCGGTCATGCTTGCCTGAAAGTGCCTTTGAAATCCATGGGACTTGATTTTCCCGTAATGCAAAACTAAGGCGCTAGTTCTGATGAAGCTAAAAAGGGAACGAAGGTGCTAAGAGGCAATCGAAGTGGTTCTATAGCGGTGCTATTTGTTTAAGCTAACCTCGTCTTATCTGTATGTGTTCACAAATGCGGTTTATTTAAGATAAGTACATGTAAGGTTGTAGCTGTCTCCCTCTAGATTAATAGCCTTGAGTCAAATCAAAGGCGATGATTCTACGTACTTTAAAGTGCGCGTGGATCAAATTTTTGTGGCGATGGAGGTTTTCTTTCAGTGGGATTTGTTCCGGAGGCTTTTGAGAGCGAACATGCTGGGACCTAACTAAGCCATGTTTTTTTTTTCTTTTGAAAATCAGCCATGTGCTTAAAAAAAGTTGACTTGTTCTTTCCAACTGCGTACTGTACTGAAATATCTCTAGATGCTTCTCCCCTCTCGTCCTTTTAGAGGTGGATGAAGTTGCTTGTGTAAATTCGCACACAATGGACCTATAATTTCGAAAACCTTGTTTTAGAAAATATTCTTGATTGCAGTAAGTCTTTTTTTAAATGCTCAGGGTTGCAGGCAGGATCATCACATTTCGGGAACAGTGGTAAAGTTGCTTCTAAGACCAAGGAGTCTTAAGTAATTCACATTTATGTGGTCTTAAGTCTTATTGAATTTAGTGGCATTCGCTTCCCAATAACTCATTTATAGGATTTGGGTGAAAAAGCCGAGATGGCTTGGCGGTTAGGAAACCCTTTTAAAAAAACAGGGTGTATCTCGAGCCAGGGGCTGGCAAGAGAAATTTGATTTTATTTTCCTGCTGCTGTAAGATTTCAAGGCAGTTGCTGAACGGCACTATTCTTTGTCTTGGGGTTTCTGTCTTGTACCCTTAACGAGTCCACTGTTAATAGTCCAGTGCATGGTTGGAAACTTCCCGTGCCGCGTTTGTGCAGCGCCTGGTGCGGAAAAAATAAGTATATTTCAGGAGGCATGGCTGTCCTTTAGAATACAGCCCTACTGTATTTCGATGGGCCTTAACTCAACGGTTTAATATGATCAGGCTGAAAGTGTGACTCGTAACCTTAAAATGGTTTACAGTACTTGTATCTAAAAATCACTTCACTTGTGTCCTAAAAACGGAGAGCCAGGAAAGTCTTAAATTCCAAATAATTCCGCACTCCCATCATCTATTTCCCGAAAACTTTCTCCGACGGCTGCCGTTTTAAGGTTGCTCATGCCTTACTTAAGTGCGGGCTTCGAAAAAGACGCGTTTATAGCATCGCACAGAATTCTTTCCCAGGTTCTCCGAGCCACACACAAACTCCTCGGGGAGGAAGCGCAACGAAGAGTCTTGTGTCGCCCTGAAGCCTGCCACGTTTTATTTGGCCGACGGGATCTCGACCGGTTCAGGTGAAAGTGGTCCCTAAGTCCACCCAAAGGCCATGCCTAGGAAAACGATCTATCGTTCCGGGTGCTACAAGACTCTGCTTCTGCTCGCTTTGTTATTATTTTTTCTTCTTCTCCAGGAGAAATCAGTGCAAACTTTCGCACACTTTGGAGGCCGAGGTGCGTGCGTGCCCGTCTGAAGTCCGCCCACGGGGATCGGGGGGTGGGTTGGGTTGGGTTGGGTTGGGTTGGGGGGAGAGAGAAGGAAGGAGAGAGAGCAGAAGCGCTGGGAAGCCCCGCGGAGCGAGTTGAGGTCTCTATAGGAGCAAGTGATCCAGCCGGTCGGACGAGTTCCGCCCGCGAGGGAAGAAGGGAGGAAAGCGCTCGCCTGCCATGCGGGGAGGCGCCGAGGTAGGCAGCCGGGACGGAGGGAGGGAGAGAAAGGCAGGCCTCGGCCGTGGCAGGAAGTGGGCGATCTTGGCATCAGTGCCAAGGGAGGGAGCGAGCCAGAGGGCAGCTTTGGCGGGGAGGGGGAAAGAAAGGGAAGCAAAGAAATGGGCGTCCAAGCGGCTCAACACACCTTGACGGAGGTTGCCCAGAGGGTTTGGAAACTTGAGCGTGACTCCCGGCTTTTTAAAGAGTCGCTCCGCGCGCCGGAATCGAACCGACGAACGGTGCCCTACTCTCTCTCTAGACCCAATTGTTATTATTTTCTTCAACTGCATTGCTAGCTCCCTTTTTTTGTCCCGTCCTGCAGACCCAAGAAGGCCTTCTAAGAGGAGAAAAGAAGATCCTTGGGTTCAAAGGGCCCGAGGTGTAAGACCCCACTTAACTCTTCGAGAAGTTACCAAACGCTCTCTTTAAGCGAATTACTTTGCCCCCGTGGTAGCTGTCTGTGTAAAAAAGGAGGGAAAAACACCTCTGAAGCAGACGAAAACTGTAAATTCTGATCCCCTCAGACCTTACAACTGAAGAATTTGGATGACAGTTAGATTAAGGCAACCTGACTTTCTCAAAAAAATTTTTTTATAAAAAGAACTCTCAACTTTTCAGAACATAAAGTTTATTTGGGATTCTGGAGATTTCATTTACTAGCTAGCAAGCCTCATCGAACGACACTTTCTCCAATGCTTACTGAAAATAGACATAGGATTGCTGTCAGTGCCTCGGGTTTACTCGCAAGTAAGCCCAGCAGTGAGACTTTTTTTTTTTTTT